CAAACCAACTGCTTGTGTTTTTGTTGACTTAGCAAAGGCATTCGACTCTATTACTGATGAAACGCTTTTAACAACTTTAGAAAACTTAGGTTTCCGGGGAATAACATACAAACTTATAGAAAATTATTTGTCAAATCGAACACAGTGCGTCAAAATTAATAACACATTCAGTGAACCCCATATTATATCATACGGTGTACCTCAAGGCTCAGTATTAGGACCCATTTTATTTAATCTATTTATCAACGATTTGTTCAAAATAAATAGTACAGGTAAAGTTATCGGTTTTGCGGATGATACAGCTATTCTCTATGAAAGCAACCAGTGGCATACACTAAGAACCACCATCGAACATGATTTCAAAACATTTGTAAATTTCTTTTTGGAAAGAACTTTGACAATTAATTACAACAAAACACACTATATAGCATTTTCTTGTAACGACAGGCTCTCACCACAGTTTAAAAAACTTGAAATTCATACAAGCAGTGGTCTCAAAGAGATTCAGTCAGCCGATAAAATAAAATACTTAGGCGTGATTTTGGACAAACACTTAAAATGGGATACCCATACAGAGTACCTTGTGAAGAGACTGAGATGTATTATTCCAAAATTCAGGTACTTCAGAGATATTCTAGATAAGAAATATCTATATAATCTATATTATGCTCTTGTTTATCCTCTATTACTTTACGGAATTTTGGCTTGGGGGGGAGTTATGAATAATAATTACAAAAAGGTTGAGGTAATCCAAAAATTAATTCTAAAATTGATACTCCATAGGGAGATTACTTATTCAAGTGATTTTCTATATGTGGAGGCTCAGCTATTAGATTGCAGACAAATTTATTTTTATTGTGGTCTAATACATTATTTCAAATATTCAAAATACTTTAATCGTAGCATTCATAACTACCCAACAAGATTCAATCAAAATTCAATGTGTATTCCACAAACATCAAAAACCATTACACAACGATCTCTGTTTTTCTTAGGACCAAAATTCTATAACTTCATACCAGAGTCATTAAAAGTAATTAAATCAAATAAATCATTTAAAAAACAATTAAAAAAAATGGATTTTATATCAACCAAGGTACTCCATCCACGAAATTGTAGATCTGAAAAAACATTATCAAGATCAATAATATTTTACTTACACTAACATCCATACTGTTACTTCAGTTCTAATTGTCTGGATATTTTTCCTGACATTACCATAATAATTCACCAAATTATACAGTATTAACGGGTTTTTTCTTTTTTTTTTCATACACTGACTGTACTATTAGTTTTTATTTTGTACAAACCCAAACACAAGTGCAAACTTTTTTTGGGTGCTTTATGTTTATTGTGCACAATATTTGATATTTACTTGTATTTTGTGACAATAAACATTATTATTATTATTATTATTATTATTATTATCCAACAAAAGGCTTTAATTTTTACCTAACTGGTCTAGACGACAATGACCACGTCTCAAGTTATATATATATATATATATATATATATATATATATATATATATAAAGAGAAAATTATCATGCGCAGAAAGGTATATAACAAAAAATAGGAAAATAATGGGCGAAATCCACAAAAAGAAGGAAAGTGTATTCGAGCATAAAATAGGATAGGTAACCAGAGCTATACGTATTTCTGCTGGTTGGCTTCACCAGGCCCGAAGTTAATGCACATAATGCACATATGCAACTACAAAAGTAGGCTCACATGCCCATGCTTCCGGATACGGGTGTAACCTGAGGAAACGAAGATGGAGAGGGAAAAAATCACATGCGAAGTCCACAACAAGAGCCAACCTACACATTGTAGTATAAAATGACCAGAAGACCTCCAGTTTATATAACAAAATACAGGAAAATAATAGGCGAAATCCGCAAAAAGAAGGAAAGTGGATTCGAGCATAAAATAGGATAGGTAACCCGAGCGATACGTATTTCTGCTGGTTAGCTTCACCAGGCCCGAAATGAATGCACATATGCAACTACAAAAGTAGAATCACGGGCCTGATGAAGCCAGATACGTATCGCTCGTGTTACCTATCCTATTTACTGCTCGAATCCACTTTCCTTATTTTTGCGGATTTCGCCCATTATTTTACTATTTTTTGTTATATACCTTTCTTTGCATGATAATTTTCTCTTTGTAGATCCTTTGGGCTTGAAGTACCACAGCAGGTGGCTATAATCGGTCGCGTGGTTGTGGTTAGTTGTCGCCTTGAAAATTTGAGGTCTTCTAGTCATTTTATACTACAATGTGTAGGTTGGCTCTTGTTGTGGACTTCGTGTGTGATTTTTCCCTCTACATCTTCGTTTCCTCAGGTTACACCCGTATCCGGATGCCTGGGTATGTGAATCTACTTTTGTAGTTGCATATGTGCATTCATTTCGTGCCTGATGAAGTGAACCAGCAGAAATACGTATCGCTCGGGTTACCTATCCTATTTTCTGCTCAAATATATATATATATATATAATATATACAATATAATAATATATAATATACATTATAGTATATTTTTGGTGCCGAGCTAAGGTTCTTAATCCTAATTTTGCAAAAATAAGTGAATGTCAAATTACTACTTATAACGTGAAAGTATAGACCTTTCGTGAGAAATTTTAGATTCAAATCTAAAGTTAATGCTCCAGTTTTGTGTTTGTGATAAATTATGGTTTATCTCCAATATTTTGTACTCTTCTATGTTGTTGAATATGGAATTTGTTGACAAAGCTTAGAACGAGATTCGGCACCAAAAAAAAAAAAAAAACTGGAACGAAAGAAAAAAAACTAACTACAACTGCTCAGGTAAAAGCCTAACGGTGGGGTACATGCGTCGTCGGGACGCCGATGACTAACATATGAAGGGTAGCGAGGAAAAACGGCATTAATCCATTATTTGGCTAAATTGAGCTTTCACTTTATTTTGGTGTAATCAGCTTCTTAAATTGTAAAAAGGGCTTAGGTTCACAAAAGAACAGCTATAAGATTTACTGTGCCGGGGAAGAATGGCATGAGTCCTTGTGCGTGTATGGAAAAACGGCATCAGTCCATATGGAAACGCGGCGTTGCATCGGCCGTACCTACCTGAAAATCTAAATATCGCAAAATTACACAAAACGTATTCTATTGGCAATGTTGAAAACAAGATTTTCTATGAATCCTTCCGAGAAATATTTGGAAACAACTTCAATATATCGTTCGGTTATCAACGAAAAGAGACTTGTAGTACGTGTGATTCCTTAAAAGCTGATATATCTTGACTTACCGCTACCTTAAATTCCCACACGGAACAAACTAGGCAGTCAACAAGTAATAATTTGGAGAAAAAGATATTTGAGAAGACACTACTACATCAAAAAAGGAGTGAGCGATTTTTCAGTCTAAGGAGGACTCGAAGATCCCCGCTAATTACCAAAAAAACTTGCCCTGTCCAAATATCACCACAAATGATGTTTACTATAAGCGGCAACTAAATTTCATCAGTTTTAACATCCACATTCTGTCAAACTCAAATTCCATCCTTTATACCTACGATGAATCTATTGCTAAGAAAGGAGCTGACGATGTTTGTTCTATGCTGTATCACATTTTTTATAACATCCTGCCTATGGAAGTAAAAGAACTTGCCATTTTCTGTGGCTCATGTGCAGGGCAAAATAAAAACTTTACGGTTATTCGGTTTTTGCATTACTTGGTTACCAAGAGAAATCGTTTTACTACCGTGAAAGAAATATTCCCGATCAGGGGGCATTCATACCTCGAGTGTGATAAGGATATGAGTCTCGTGAACCAAAGAGCTTACACTGAGGTACCGGATGACGGGAGAGATGAATTGCAAAATTGCCGTGTGAAACCTACACCATTTGAAGTCATTGATTGTGGCAAAAATCTTGATTTTCAAGATTGGAGTACATTTTTATCGCCGTTTTATCCAACGAAGTGCCCCTTTCCAACCCGACCAGTCAGGATGCTCAAGTTTTGTAAACAGAATCCTCGCGTAGTTTTTCACAAATCGACATACATGGGCCTATATGCTGGCTCTAAATTTGATAAGGTAATCCGGAAGAATCTAAAAAGGCGCAAAAAGATCAACAAAAACGAGAACAGGAAAGATTGAGAAAATTTTACCAGGGCCCAATCGGAATTAAAAGTAAGAAATGGAAGGATCTGCAGGATCTGACCAAATTTCTAGATAGAGCAGATTCCAGGACATTTTATCGACAGTTAATATCTCTTGATCGTCCAGAAGACAGCAGTGATGAATATGTCGATGACCCGCCAATAGACGCTTAAAGCAGGGGAAAAGTGGCACGAGCCCAGAGTTGAACATCATCTTTTGTTTGTTATGTTACTAGTTTTGTGTAAAAGTTCATTTTGTATAATCTATTTTACCAATAAATACACTGTTTAGCAAAGATTTAATTTACGACTTATTTTTTCATCAATTTTATGTTCCAACAAGTAAGTAAACCTTAATTACCGATTTTGTCAAAAATCAGTCCGGATGGACAATTGTCGTTATTCCCCGCCGGTACCCTTCAGATGAAATCAAAAAAAAATACAAGTATACAATTTGGTAACCTTTATAGCCACTTTCTTGATTCCTAAATTTTGATCTTATTTGAAGTGTTTCTAGAAAACGCAGTATAATTGCATCACTTATGGTCACTAACATTGATGACAAAAGACAAATGCTGGCCATAATTCGCACGAGAACTGATGCAGCTTACAGAGTCAAATTTTATCAACTGGTGCACAATACGAGGATTCAGGTCATAGTAATAGTTATGAAGTTCGGCCACGGGATTCCTTACATTCCTGGCATGACAGACAGACATATCAGAATCTGTTTTTCAGTCTGGTACACCAAGAAGTGACCCCTTTTGTATAATCTGTTTTACCAATATACAGGGTGACTTCGAAGTTGAGTCATTTATTTTAACAGTGAGTAGATCTGATCAAAAGAAATGTTTTTTTCCTTTACCATTTTTCTGGTAAAATTAAAGTAACAAAGTTATAGCCCTTTGGAAGTTTGAGTACCGCCCTGTCTCAATAATAATATCATGTACTCGTGTTTGGCAACAACGGATATAATCCACCTTATCGGTTCATCGCATGGGAAACAAAAAAGCGAAAGAATTTGGAACGATGTTTTTATTTCATTCAGTTCAGTTATACATACAGTTAGTGTCAGTCGCGTGTGAATAGTGTCTGTTGCGTGGCTCAAACGAAATAAAAAATGGCACATGTTTATGCGGATCGGTTTCCCAATCGAGTGCAACCAACCCCTCGTGCCTTTGTTAATGTAGTACAACGGGCTCGTGAATCAGGTGACTTAAGACCTCACAGGGCACCTCACGATCAAATACAGGTCCGCACTGAAATACTTGTTGGGAGGATACTTTATAAAACAAGGTAACATTTTTTTTTTATTTTTTTTTATTTTTACACACATATTTTGGTTTATCTTCCTTCTACAATCATTATCTGAAAATTAATGACTCAACTTCAAAGTCACCTTGTATACACCGTTTAGCAAAGATATTCTTTATGACTTATTTTTTCATGAATTTTACTTTCCAACAAGTAAGTTAACCTTAATTACCGATTTTATCAAAATCAGTCCGGATGGACTATTGTCGTTATTCCCCGGTACCCTTCATATATATTAGCAATTTTCGATGAAAGTATCTGGTTTTATTCAGGTTAAACTGCAATCCCAAAAACCTTTACCATTTTCGGTAACTGACCGGAACACTAGAGTGTACCACCTAGAGAGCAATGACGCAACTGCTGATATTTGCCTAACCACTACAACCCGCATTTCATTAGCATAGTTTGTGGGTTGCATACTTTCGGAACAAGATGTGACGGGGAATAATCACCAGGTATATATATGTAGATCGCACTTAGTTTAGTACCATTTGATGTTTGATTTCGATGCCTATTCGTCATTGTTCGTCAGAGCGGACCGGTGGACCTTTGCTCTTAGTTAAAAGTGTCGTCGGTCTGTTAGTCTTTCAGCCCTAGCTACCCAGATACCAAACATGTTCAAGCGGAAAAGGGAAATAAGGAAAGGAAGGAAGAAATAGAGCAAAGAAAAAAAGTAAATCATTTGAAGTAGCTTAAGCATTATTGGTTTGACTACTCGAATAGTTTTGAAACTCCAAAATTAATTTTGATGGGTTTTGTTTGGTCTGAAATTCACACTTTAATTTTGATCACAGTAAGAGGCGCGGCCTTGAATATTTGTGAACTTGCTCGAATGTGTAGTCTACTGAATCACGCGACAGAGGGTTGCTGCGCAATTTTGCTTGATTATAACGCCGCTGTGCCTGTTGTTTTACGTACTTCCTAAGATATGATATATCAAGATCTCTGTGAATGGTCCCGTTTGACGCGTTTCACGGGGCGTTGGTGATTGTGCGTAGGGTTCTTCAGTCTCTGCATGTGCGTCTTGGCGAGAAAGCACCAACCCACGCATGCGTAGTTGATTGATTACTGGTCTTATGATCATTTTGTACAACCAAATCTATTTTGCATTTTTGCTCTTCAAATGATAAAGCTGCCGAAACGTAATTTGGAATTTAGCTCTCAAAGCATCAGTATGATTCTGCCAGGTCAACCCATTGTCAATGAAGACTGGAAATTGTTCCCATAATATACGAGTTCTATTCAGTGATACCTCTGATGGGGACAATAGATTGCCTGCGTTTTCGAATTATTAATTTTGATCAGCCACCGATCCGCCCATTCCAATAGCAACTTCAGTGCTTTGTTGGTGATTTGACCTCTCCATTTGCCTTGCGCATCTTTAGATCCTTAATGTGGCCTTGGAGCTCTGCCGGTGTGCAAAACCGAATCAAATAGGATTCCGCTGATGTTCTATAAAGAGATTCATCTGAAGAGTCTCCCGTAGAAAACCTTCAGAAAAGGAGTCACCGATGTTAGCTCTGGTGTTATGGTCATCATTTGCTCTGAAATATCTCCTGACAGATCTTACAATTCGTCGTTCTTCGTCAAGGTCATTTTCCAGATCATAATTGAGAGAGAACTGCCTTTTCATAATGTCAGCAAAAACATCCACTTCATCCTCAGTCCTGAAAACTATGCCTCCATGAGTATGTGGTAGTTATTTCCGTTTCTGAGCGATTTTGCCACTTTCCAGAGAGAAATACTACACTGCTCATTGCGGAATTTATGGAGTGCATTTTTCACTTCATGGACAAGATTCACCGCTCTGCGAGTGCCATCAGGATGATGATTCCGACGTGTGAGAGATTTTGCTTGTCCATGAGCAGGAGGGGTTTCGTTAGAGCCAGCACAGCGGGTGTCACCTTTGGAACATTATCGTAGTCTCAAAGTAGCTAACACGCGCAAGCTTATGCCAGACACTGGTAAATAGTATGTAGTATGAGCTCTGCAAAAGCTGCAATCAACATAAGTCTAGTAGATAAATGGAAATTCTCAAATCTGTAGGTATCATTCATCAAATGAAAACGAAGTCTCATTAACATAATATTACGATTTACTGATTAATACTGTGCCATTTTACATTCTACCACTGTCTCATCCGCATCTGTCACGGTCTCTAGTTTCCATTCATTTTTAACCTTTAGCCAGGCCTTCTCTCTATTCGTTATCCGTTTTCTCCAGGCGATTCCACTGCTACTGCCTTGCTTTCCGTCTACGCACCCTCAAAGCGAAAAAGTTTTTCAATTTCTCCTAATTATTTTTTAAAATTCTAATTACGAAACATCCAGTGTCTCCATAATTGCAGAAAGTACTTATCCTCGCTGTCAGAAAACATGAGCGTGGTTAAACATATAAACAAGGGGGATAAGATACAAGTTGACCTTTGATTAACGTAACTCCAGAAACTTATTTTGTTAGTATCCGGCTGATATTTTAACTTTACTCTCTGGAAAGGGCTGCCGACGCTACCAAAACGTTAGTTATTAGCCGGTTATTATTGTTTATATTATGAGGTTTCATTCAGCAACCCGAACAGTAAGGATATAAATAACCTGTTTTTCTTAATGTTAATGAGGCACACATCTTGTTCTTCAAATTCGCGATCAACTATTTAACGTTGTCTTATATTAAAAATGAAATTTCGACTAAGGTTCTTGGGCTAGAAATTAACCACAAGTTGAGTCTTAGTTATCATACAGGGTGTAAAAATTATGATAGTCATTATTTAAATGAGTGATAGAGGGGGTTAAAAGAAGCAAAAAGTTTCATGTAACATGGGGTCAAAACGGCATTTTTTTTAGAGAAAAGCGACTTTAAATTAAAATAAAATAACGCAGTGTAAATAAAGATGGAGTTTGTTATTTTTGGCTCTTAGGTATTATTTCACTATTTGATAATGTACTCGTAAAATGCAAACAATTAAAAAAAAACGGACATACCACTAATTGTCTCAGCGCTTCACCTGGTGCGTGAAAGTGTATTGAACGTATTAAAAAAATCCACTTATAAATAGGGAACACAATTTTGATACATACATTGTTTTTCTTTTTTAAAACCCACACTGCACTTTTTGTATTTAAAGAAGGTGTACAAAATGTCGTCCTCTACTTTCCAGACAAGCTTCATTACGACAAACCCAGTTTCTTCTTGCAAGTCCTCGAGGTTGTCCATTTATTATTTCAGTCGCATTAAATTTTTTTCAAGAAGTTGTGCTTCAGCTGTTATTGGACCAGCACCGTAAACCATCCCTTTAAGTTCTCCCCAATACCAGAAATCCATCGGATTGAGGTCAGGAGATCTTGCTGGTCATTTTCGAGGATCAGGAGCATTTCGACCAATCCAGCGATTTGGATAATGTTAATTCAAATACTGAATCACGCCTCTAAAAATGTGTGGTGGTGCCCCGTCATGAAGAAACCACAAATTCTGTCTCCGTTGTAATGGCATGTTATTATCAAAGGTCTGTTTCAAAAGTTCTGGTAGGTTATTGGCTAGGAAGCTAAGGTATCCTTCTCCTGACAACTTTGGGGGTAACTCGAAATGGCCAATTACCTGATCGTCAAGAATACCCGCCCAAACACTTATTTTAAAACGTTGTTGGAAATGACCTTCACGAATGGTATGAGAATTTTCTTGATCCCACGTGTGAGTATTATGGAAATTTAATATCCCGTCTCACGTAAAAGTACATTCGGCCGTCGCTAGAATGTTTTTAAGAAAATCCGGATTTTCAATGTTTTTGTGCAAAAGCCACTGACAGAATGTTAGTCTGGGAGGATAGTCTGCTGGTAACAAGGCCTGCACTCGTTGTACTTGGTAGAGATAAAGCCGATTTTCCCGTAGGATTCTATAGACTATGGTATGCGATAGTCCTACGATATTTAAAATTTGTTCTTCCTGCTTTACAGGAACCTGTCTTTCACGAGTGCGAATATTAGTCGGCTGATCACTTCCTGTAGCTCGAAGTTTTTGGTACACTTGCACAAATGTCCTCTCCAAGAAAGAGCTATAAGAAGCATACTGTCAAGCTGACTAGAAATAGAGTTAAACCGCTTTTTATAAAGCTCAAGATGTGATGTGTATTTCATAGTTGAGGTTCAGAAAAAATATGCCAGTAAACAACCAGCAAGTGAGGCTAGACGGTACAATTTTAGGCATCTAGCACAGCATTTGTTCACTTATTTCCAAGTCCGCTTTCACCAAGCACTCTATAATTTATAATGGTATTAATATACTCAACCATCTACCCGCAGCTATCAACATAATTGATGATTTGAAAGTTTTCATGAAGGAATTCTTTGATGACGCACTGTTATTCTATTTGAATGTTGAATTATTGTCTGTTTTATATTCCCTGTTTTATTTTATTCCATGCTTTATGTTGTTTATGACTATTGGTATAGTTGTAGTCATCGTTCTTGGCAGTTACGTCATCAACGCCATATGAAATAAGTAAACAGATCGAGTCTCCGTACCATGGGCGGAACACTGCGCAGACTAATCTTCAGCGCATCTGCTACTCTCTCCAGTACACATGAAGTGGGTAA